AACTTCTTTTCTACCCTACCTGCTTTCTTGCTTCCAAGTCTGAGCCACACGACTCAACACACTGCCACTGCCATGAACTGGGTCAAGTCACCATACTGTCCCACCATGCTGGGTTGACACTCTTCGGAAGCAATAAGCCAAAACACAACATTCCTCACTTAAATTGTTTTTGTTGCTTATTGTGGTAATGGCGACATAGAAATGACTGTTGTTAAGCTATGGTGCTGTAAAGGGGTCATCAATCTTCACTCTTGGAGAGAAGATGCTATCGTCATTGTCATCTTTTGTCAACTGACTTTTTTCAGCCATTTGGTTTCCTGCTTGTTATACATTCAAAGGAATATAAGGAAACAAACAAACAAAGTAAGTCAGTGGCCATTCAGCAGCTTTGAAAAAGCTCTCTTCTCTGACTTTGCTCATCATTAAGTTGGACAAGATAATGGTCCTGAGCGCATGAGATTTTTCACTACGCGAGGCATCCACAGCTGTCCCCTGGGTGCTTCATCTCCTCTGTCAGCCTTGCTTCACTGCAACGAATACCGAGGCAACTGGCCTAAAATAGAAAAATAAAGGAAGCTCACAGTGTTGAAGGTCAAGTACCATGACTTCCTTTTGCTTGCATTACTGGTGTGGGTCCTGGATGGCAATGGTATTGCTCATAAGAGTTAAGTGTTCTCAACTTGAATAGGAACCAGAGGAGACTGAGAAGCAGAGGTCTTGTGATTCCCTTATAGGGCATACCCCACTGGACTAAGGACATCCCACTAGGCTTTACCTCTTCAAATTTCACTAACACCTTCTCCTGCTACTCTTCTCCCTTAGAATCACCCCTTTACGTGGCTTTATAAGATACACTCAGAGTATGGCCCAAAGTGATCTCCATTATCATCATCACTGTGCGGTCCTGTCTCCTCTTCTCCCTGCTTCTGACACTACCCTACTGTTTCTATCTGCTTTTCAGCCCTCAGGTCGTAAGAATGCTAGTATTCAGTCTTGAGAGACATTGCCATTGTCAATGAAAACTGCCCTGCACAGATTTCCTACCTACCTCGGGCACAATCTTCCAGATAAGAACACTGAGGTCCAGGGCCTGTCTACCTCTTGTGGGTGTACGCTAGCGTTCTTCTGGTTAGTAGACGGCTAAAATTAGACACCTGGAATTTTGACTTTGTCTTTTAATTTTGTACATAGAGAGAGGATATAGAAAATGAACGTTCAATCTGCCATTCCCAGAAAATTTTACCTGTTAGATGTGTATTGAATGGGACTTCAGGAAACCATTCACAACCTTTCTCTTACTGCCCAAGAATTTCCTGTAATAAGTCATGTTGATGGAGGTAGAAACATATTAATGTAGACAGTGTAGATATTAATGTGATATTATTGTAGACAGTGAACTATGTTGAAAAGGGAGTTTTGGTTTCAAGAATATCTGTGCTATTATTGGGGACCAACCGTGTACCAGATCATTTATATACTTTTCTGCTGGAAGTTCAGTATGACAAGGATAACACTTATTTCACAGACTATGTGTCTGTAGTTTCCAAACTCAATGGCCCACAAATAGTAGATACTCTGTAGATAACTATAAAATGATGGAACTTTAACACTAAAAGTTGGTTTTTATCTTTTGATCCATACATTTTGCTTATAGGTATGTAAACCAGAAAAAAAGTACATAGAGTCCCATAAGGGACCATTTATATATGTTTCTTCAGCATTGTGGGTGGTAGCTG